ACACACTCTCTCTCTCTCTCTCTCTCTCTCTCTCTCACACACACACACACACACACACACACACACACACACAAAGACTAAGATAATTTCAGAGCCATCAGCAGAACACGGTGAGTCAATGTACGGGACAGTGACAGGGTACTTATTTCACTGAGTAGGTAAAAAAAAATCTTCTAAGGTCACAATGATCTTTGATTTCAGTCTTCAACAGAGAGAAAAAGAAGCTGTATGAAGATGGAGGGCAAAAACACAAAGGAAAAGGGACAAAGTCCTTGAGATAGGATCAAGCTTAGTGTACACCCACATCAGGAAGGAAGCAGGAAGGAACATATTACTAGATAAGGTCTGGGAAGTAGGGCTTTCCAAGCCATCATAGTTTAGATTTTTATTCTTCATGTAATACAAAACCATTGAAAGGCTTTAAGCTAAGAAATGACTTGACCTGATTTATCCTTCAGAAGGATCATAATAGCTACTTTGTGAATATGGAGGAGGACTGAGGCAAGTTAAAAATGAGATGAGGCAAACAGCTGGGACTTAGAGAGTCAGGTCAGAGGGGGCCTAGCTTAGGGGAGAGAGCTGGTATATCATGCAATTACCAAAGAAAACCAAACAGATAGACTTTAGCCAGTAATCTTTAAAAATATTAATTATTAACAACATCTCTAGGAGAACTATGAGCAATATATACTCCAAAGAAGAAAAATTATTATACTTACTGGTTTTCCTGCTTTAAAATGAACAAAAAGTTATAAAAGGAATCAAATACTATCTATAAGTTATCTTAATTAGAAGAGAGAGAATGCCTCAGGATTAATAATTGGCCCTGTGAGGTTGAAAAACGAACAATGCCATTATCCATGAGTTAACTTTACCTTAAAAATAAATGATCTGTAGTAAAGGGCTCAAGCCTTTTTTCCTCTTTGTCCCAGAGGAACCGGAGCCACTGATGCCAGCGGCTAGGTAAGATATAAGAGTGCAGCTCTAACTAGAAGTCCCTGGAAATGGGATTAACCAAGGAATACCCACTGGTGGCTGTAATTCCTACCTACAGGTGTGCTGGGTTGCCTATCCTTAAACTCTGGCAGTTCAGTTGCATTTATTTATTCTTTACAACTTGGGTATCAGTTTTTAATTTTTTATTTGTTCTTTTTAGTTATACATGACAGAAGAATGTATTTTGACAAATTATACATATATGAAGTATAATTTCCTATTCTTGTGGCTGTACATGATGTGGAGTTACATGGTCGTGTATTCATATAAGAAAATAGTAAAGTTAGGTTCAGTTCATTCTACTGTCTTTCCCATTCCCATACCCCTTCCCTTCCCTTCATTCTGAATATCAGGGTTTGTTTTTTTAAAGAGAAAGAGAATTTTTAATATTTATTTTTTAGTTTTCAGCGGACACAACATCTTTGTTTGTATGTGGTGCTGAGGATCGAACCCGGGCCGCATGCATGCCAGGCGAGCGCGCTACTGCTTGAGCCACATCCCCAGCCCAATATCAGGGTCTTTTTAAAAAAAATTTTTAGTTGTATATGGACACAATRTCTTTATTTTTATTTATTTTATGTGATGCTGAGGATTGAACTCAGGGCCTCACACAGTGGGAGGCAAGCRCTCTACCACTCAGCTACAACCCCAGCCCAGTTTTTAATAAACAAAACAGCAAATATTTCTTAAGTGTGTACTATAGGTCACACAGTATCTGAGGCAATCCAGATAAAGCAACAAACAATACAGGCATAGTTCTGCAATTGATGGTGCTTTCAATCAAGTGGGGATGATGAACACTGAACATAAAATTTATAATTTTGTTTTTGTTTTTGCAGTGCTGGACCCCAGGGCCTTATGCATACCAGGAATATGCTCTACCTCTAAACTGCATCCCCAGACCAAAATTATAAGATTTCTTCACAAAGGGGAAGTGGTGGAGGCTATAGAAAGAGAATTAACTGTAGTTTAGGGGGATCAGGAAYATAAGAAAAGCTTTCCTCAGGAAGTGACATATAATTGAGAAATTATACAATCCTACAGAAATTTTTTAAAAATATAAGATCTTGTTAGGGAACTAAACAAGTTTATCTCCTGTGGATATTACACAAGAACTTCCAGGAATCAGTATGAAATACACACACACACACACACACACAATTTCAGCATTGTTTATGCACAACAAAGGTCTATGGGTCACCTGTTCTCAGGGACAGCATCTTGTTTCAATTCAAAGTTCTCGTTTACAGCAATCTCATGAGCAAGAGTCATGTTGGATAAGTTCCTTGCTGCAGTCATCACTTCATCAAATGTCACAACTCTGGGAGGGCTTGTTGCTGAAAGAAAAACAAAAGTCAGTCAATGCTATAGAAGAGAAATTGTCACCCAATAAAGCCATCTGATGTAGACAAAGTTTAATTTATTCCTACGTATACTTCATGGTTTTATAAGCAGAAAGAATATAAACAAAATAGGTGGATTCACTCACTTTAATAACGAACTTGAAAAATAGTTTCAGGTGCTATATTTAATAATAAATTTTTATTTGATAGTAAATTTTCAAATGTTTGTAAGACAAGCTTATTAAAATATGCCTATTATAACTTATTTTAAAAAAATTAAATCATCTTATTTTTGGTACTTGCCTTTATTTACATATATTATACAGAGACTGATGATTTTTTAATTTGGTAATTAAGAATTCTCATTTATTTAAGTAAACTCAATATGAAATACTTATTTATAAAAATGTAATTTCTAAATGTATAGACAGTATAACATAAGGTTTAAATTCAATCCTAAGATTTTCCTGCTTATAGTTATCATTTGACTTCACTGAGATATAGATAACCTCCTATGAAGGCTGGCCTAGGATTAAAAAATATAAGTGAAAAAGAATATAATAAGAGCTCAATAAAKCATTAAAGAAAATAAAATATATCAGAGAAGCTGGATAATTTTCCTCTCAGTAGGAAAGTTATAATAATCTGAGTTATTTCTAGTGATTTTACTATGAAAGTATTATACATGTTTATAAAATTAGTTGGAAATCTTAGCTTCTGTTAAAAATCATGATCTTGAACAATACAAATGATGTAATATTTTGTTACTTAATTTTTAACAAAGGTGRGGAGAGGAGAAGAGAGGARGAGGATGGGGAAAGGAGGAGGACAAAGAAAGGTGAAAGAGAATAACATCAAAATCCTTCTTCAGGACTATCTATGTAGCCTGTTATCGGATGCATGAACCTTATATATAAAATGTCAAGAATAAGAAAAAACAGTGTGCTGGGGTTGTGGCTTAGTGGTAGAGCACTTGCCTAGCATGTGTGAGGCACTGGGTTTGATTCTTCGCACCACACATAAATAAGTGAACAAAACAAAGGTCTATCAACAACTAAAAAAAATAATTATAATTAAAAAGAAAAAGAAAAAGCACAGAAACTTGAGGTGGYTGCTGTTAATTCTTTTGTCAACTCTACTACAAGATTCTCCTTAAAAATGGCTGTATCCTTTGGCCCAGATATCCAAAGTAATTTCCAGAAAGGCTTCATGCACCAAATAAAACACTATTTATAACAGCAAAAAACAAATRGAAACTAACCTTTTCTTGTGTGTAGTGTTAGGGATCAAACCCAGGCTTTTATGCATGCAAGGCAAACRCTCTACCACTGAGCCACATCCCCAGTCCACAAAATGGAACTAAATGTTCAATAATAAATCAATTGGTAAGTAAATTTATGGTCTATTCTCTTGAAGTAAGCGGTCATAAAGAAAGTTTAGAAAATATATTATCACAAGTAAATGTTTTAGTTATATAACTAAGTAACAAGATTCCATATATGTATATACRTCTGTGTAAAGGATAAAGATGGCAAAGTGCTGCCAGCTGTAGTCTTTGGGTGATACTGTAGGCAACAGTTTCTTTTTTCTATACTAATGTATTTTCCAAGTTTTTAAAATAAAAAACATAAAAATTTTAAATACAAATGAACAAGTCTTTTTAATCTATTAAACATCAGTTGCCTTTTTTCTATATTTACCTTGTCTGTTTAAGCTGTTGTAGGCTAATGAAAAATCTTAAAAAAAAAAAAAAAAGCAAACACACCTGCTTAACACATCTCCTGTGTCCACATACAAAAAAGGAAAAAGCTGTCTTCCTTTGCTACTCTTTCAATTCTTTCACATAACCCTGGTGTAGTAATTCTCCTTAAGGGCCCCTTTCTGAGTGACTTGCACAACAGGGTTTGCAATTAGCAGGAAATCTCTTAGAATATCTCACTTCCTGCCTGATATTTCCACAAGTGCATGTTTCCTTAAATGTGAATCAGAAAACAATCTGGTTTGGGATTGATTTTAATTTGTCCAAGAAGTAATCACAAGAAGGAGTAGCTTTCTATCGTTTGAGAGAAAAGAATGGGGTGAGGAGCCTGATTTATAGTCAAACCAAAGCAGACTAGAGACACTGATCAAAGTAAATATCAGCAGTTGTGAGCTTTAGTGGCTATTTCTGAGAACACACACAAAATAGCTGCAGTCCCCCTGCAGTGCTATGCTGGTACACCAAGAAATGAGGGTTAAGCCTGGGCTTTGCCCTCCACCATTGTTGAGTTTTCAAATCCAACATACTCTACAAACACCACACCACCCTCAGTCCCGCTCCCCTGTGGGCTCACAAACAGGAGAGCTGGATTTGCTGGAGGAATCGCTTGTGAAGCTCTGTCTGGAGCACTCATAGTCACTGAGTGAAGCCATGCTCTCGGAAAACCGTGAAGAATCTGAATCACTTGGATGGTCCTCGCCCACACAYTGCTTCTCGTCATTGAATGGCATTTTGTGTTACTTGAGTATGGATAAAGAGAGAACACCTGTACAGACAAACAGACCCTGCATCAACATTCTGGGGCACTTCCATTGGTACCAGTATGGACAACTATACCCACAAGTTTAACAGTGTTGAAAAGCTTCCAGAATATTACTGTGTCCCTCCCCTAACACCCCAGCCAGGCAGTCACAAGGCTATCAAGAATGCCTTCCAGAAAAGGGATTCCACACTCATCAATGTGAGCTGACTCAGGACATAACCAGTATGATTGCAGAGCAGCTCTAAGCAATGACATATTCTTTAAAACAATATGCTAAAGCCAGGAGCACTGGCGCATGCCTGTAATCCCACTGGCTCAGGAGGCTGAGACAGAAGGATCAGGAGTTTAAAGCCAGCCTCAGCAAAAGCAAGGTGCTAAGCAACTCAGTGAGACCCTATCTCTAAATAAAACAAAAATTAGCTAGGGATGTGGCTCAGTGGTTGAGTGCCCCTGAGTTCAATTCTCAGTATTGCCCCCCCCCACACCAAATAACTAAAAATATATATGCTAAGACATGGGAAGGTAAGAGAAAGCAGGGCTCTGGGAGGGGTCATATTGCTCTTTCTGCCTTGGGGAGGTCACTTTACCCCCTACCTCATCGGTGAAACTGGACTGGAAGACTGACCTCATAGTGTACTTAAGGAMTGAATAGGACAAAGCTCATTACAGTGCCTGGCACAACAATCAAATGTTACTTATTATTGCTTTAAATAAAATAGTTTTGAAAGTAGACTCTTCATGCTCTCTATAAGCTTCTTGAGAGAAGGAAAGACTGATGAAAATCTCTGGCTGGTCTTTAGCCTTTCCTCTTCCACTTTCACATGAATTGCCACAACATGAAGAATAAGACCTAACATTTGTTTTTTTTTTTTTGAAGTAGCTATCCCCACCCAATGAGTGAGCAGATGGTGATTCACAGAACAGGGGAACAGACTCGAGACACAAGGGGACTTACTATACCACAGAACCAATCCCTTGAATCTAAAGTGAGTGCTGTTTCTGGGATATCAGACTGCCTACCAGGGAAGGGAGTCAGGCCTGGGAACAACCCAGAAAGATCATGGGCACAAAGAATGACCAGGAGCAAGGCCTGTGAGGAAGCTGGCCTTGATATGTGTGGTGTCAGCTGACACAAAAAGAAAATTTGGGCCCAAGGAGAAAGGCACCTCAAATCCTGAATGGGCAATGATAGGAASAATTCACTGCATCCCTTTAAATCTGAACCATCCCATGCAATAGAGGATACAGAACTTTTTAAACTGCCAGAATGTGAAGCCATAACTATGCAGAATAAAATCAGTGGAAATGCCTGCAAGTTCTTGGATGATTCCAGTTACTAAGTGCTCACAGTGCACCCAGAAGCAGACACCAGGAAGAGTTAACAGTAAACAAAATAGATAGGGCCCTACTCTCATGGTTCTCAAGCCCAGTTACGCAAAACTGTGCATGTCAAATGCTAGAGGAGAAAAGGAAAATAAGGCATTGTTGAGAAAACATGAGAAAGAAAAGGGAGGACTGGAACTCAGGAGGGGGAAGGCACTAGACTTTGTTGAGAGAAACAGCCAATTTTTATTCCTTGGGTGGTGACAGAAACAAGAAAGAGCCTGAGAGAATACACCAGGTGTGAAAAGCCCAAGGGCGTCTGCATACTGCCTCACCTAACAACTTTCGGTCCTAACACAGAAATGCATCCTTGTCCAGGCCACCACTTTTCTTTCTGGGGGGAGGACATTGGGAATTGAACCCAGGGATGCTTTGCCACTGAGCTATATCTCCCCAACCCCCTTTTAAAATATTTTTTATTTCAAGACAGGGTCTTTTAATTTGCTGAGGCTAGCCTCAAACTCATGATCCTCCTGCCTCAGGCTTACTGAATCTTATTATAGGCATGCATGTTCAGCTCCAGGCCACCAATTTTCCAAGGAGAAAACCCCTACCTGCCTCTGCAGACTAAAGGACATGGTGTGGACTGCAGCTGCCAGGAAGCACCCTACCCTATCTCAGAATCCTAAGCTAATCACCATGAACACAGGCTATAAAATAGCCCTGGGCCCTTACAMCTTTAGTGGTGAAATAACCTACTCTACCCTGGGACAACCAGCCTCTACCTGAGTTTTAACTCCAACCTGCTGATGGAAGGGGAGAGGAGACAGAATAAAAAGGGTTGCTATAACCCTTTTACTGCCACCAAACCCTAAATCCTAAATGGAGACCCCTCTAGTTTGCTACATCCCTCGTTGCCAACATTTTACTTCCCATTGAYGGTAATCTTGAAAATATACCTTCTTGGGGAGCTCCCACCAGAGCTCTTGGTACTCCCTTGAGTACATGTGCAGCACATATCCACAAAAGCACTTGTATGGTTATTTTCTTCCCATGGCTACTTCCGAATCTGCTTAATAAGGCAGACACTGAGTCTTGTTCACCACCAGTGCCAAGTATATGACAAGTATTCATTCAGTGTCAACTGAAACACAATCATTGAATTCCATTTGGTACAGCTTCAACTAGAACATTTGCAAGCTGATACCACTACACATTTACATGCCTGGTACTGCCAAAGTCCAAGCCCCAGTGCAGGGAATGTACTACTTAAGCCTAGTTTATYAGATTTAAAACTCAAATTCCCAGGTCTCTGTCACACTCTCATTTAAATATCTTAAAGTTTGTTTCTACCTTTTTTTTTTTTCCTTCAGTCATCTCCCCGCAATGTAACAACTTGGCTCTGCTCTTGATTTTCACCACTACAGCTGCCTCAAATGAGTATCTCTGGCTGTTTTTCCAAGTACAAGTGAATAAAAGCTTTCATCCATGGGAATGTATGAACTAGGTTAACAGTTATTAMTGTCCATTATATTCTACCCCAGCTGGACAGAACATCTGGTAGGTTTCTTAATTGTATTTAACAAGGCAACCAATTGCAAAGATTTAAAAAATAAAAAAGCTCTAGGTTAGGAATTAGAAATCAAGGGTTTGGGGCGTATGTYGGTCATTAATTTGCTATGTGACTTCACACACACCACATCTTCTCTCCTGACACTTCATTTTTCTAAGAGGATTGGGTCAGTTATAGAGTTTCTTTCAGCTCGAAATTGTTAAAATGCTCCAAACCAGAGTTCTATGAGGCATCACTAGAAGCTCTAATAAATTAAATGTGCTCAGAGCAGGCATGTTTAATTGCATGCCACTGCATGCCACTACACTTTCTGCCAGCAAGTTACTAGAGGTAAAATTCCTAGTACAGGGGATATAACAGAAAATTTTAAAGCTTTGCAATGTTTAGAAATACTTGGTAGAAGCCTTCCCATTTTAACTGGGACTTAGTGTATCTAAGCCCAAAAGCCTGTCTTTGAAGATGCTTATTATTACTCTATTAGAAAATTATCCATTTCCTCTTATGGGAATATTGATAATGCCTGATTCTTAGGGCTGGGGTAAGAATCCACAGTCAATCTAGAGAGAGTACTCAGCACAGTGTCTGACACAGAATAAACAGGATACAGAGGTTCGCTTATGATTACATGCTTGTTTGTTAATATTATCACCTCAAGCATTAAAAACTGAAGGAGAAAACAGTTTTACTCCAGGACAACAAAAGCATGTTCCCTTACAGATACACAAGGCTGGTAGTCACCCTAGGAGAGAACTCTTACACGTGTTTGAAATACAAAACACAAAAGCAAATGGCCCATCACAGTGTGCATGGTCCTCTGCTAGTCCTTCTCACCTACTCTTACCCACCCTTCTTGGTCTTGAGTTTCCATTTAAGTCATCTAGGGACAAAGCTACTTGACTCAAAAGCCAATGAGGGTAGTTAGATTGCTTTTTAAAAGTATTTTGGGTCCCCTCTTAGGCTGGTAATGATAAAACTAGGCTTTTTAAAAAAGAAACATAATAGTTCTCATACTCACAAACTTAGATCTACCTAACTTTCACCAATGCAATTTACAGGTAAATCAAACAACTTTTCAGGAATACCACATCCTACCTGGAGGCTCACTCACTGGTCAAAGGTAAAGACAAAAGGTTGCTCCAAGCAAAGCCTCCAAAGGTAAAGACAAAAGGTTGCTCCAAGCAAAGCCTCCAACACTACAGTGGATTACTAGTCAAAGCAAATGAAATACCACATTTCATATCTGTATTGTACTACTCTATTCTTTAATAATAATAAATAGTCTTTTGACATTTTGAGGCCAATGACTCAAAGGCAGTCAGGCACTTAAATATTGCATAATAAATGAACAGATAAATGAATGGCAGTGTAACTACTGACATCTTAGAGATGAGGRGCCTTAAGGGTCAAGTCATGCTTCCTCCCACAGACTCCGATTCCTCAGCCTATGTCCTACTTTACTTTTTTATTTCCTCTCTGCAGCAAACTATAAGTGGTCCTGTACTGGTGTGAGATTGTAAAGATATGCCAGTGATAATATGCATTTCACTGACGTAGGAAGAACAGTAGCTAACCCACTGAACTGGGTTCTTAATCCCATCTCTTGATATTTACTAACTAGAGACAGGGAACTTACCATTTGTGTAATAATAATAGTAATAATAATAATAATAATAATAATAATAATAATAATATCTACCCTGTAGAATTGTTGTAAATATTAACTGAAATAATCTATGTCAAATAACTAAGTTCCTAGTAAGGGCCTGAAGATGTCAACTATTATTTTAGTCTTATTAAAATAAGTTAAAGGTCAATGTCATAAAAAACAAAAGCTGAGGATATGTTCCAGATGAAGATACTTGGTAACTGCTGTGATTTGAGGATGACTCCAAAACAGCATATTTTGGAAACTTAATCCCAATGCAATACTGTTAGGAGGTGGGACCCATCACGGGTGCTTAGGACATGAGGGGTCCATGCTCATGAATGGATTAAAGCCAATTACAGAGAGCATGAGGCCATGAGTTCAATCTCCGTGCTTTCTCTTGCCCATGTGATGCCTTCGGTCATGTTATGACTCAGCAAGAAAGCCCTCATCAGATGCTGGCCCCCTAATCTTGGGATTCTGAGCCTCAAGACTGTGGGCTAAATAAATTTCTGTTTGTCATAAATTACCTAGTCTATGGTATTCTGTTATAGCAGCACAAAATGAACTAAGGCATAGATTCTGCACTGGACAAAATAAATGTGATCAAGAACATAGTTAGAATACTTGAATCTGTTATTTGTATTCTACCACTAAATATATTAAAGTTGATAAATGGACTATGGTTGTTTTAAAAAGGACCTTGATGTGTGCAATTTTCTCTCAAATGATACAAAAGAGAAAAAAAACAATAAAACATAGAGAAAAATGTATTAGGTGAATCTGACTTGCAGTGGACAACAAGATGTTTGAACTATTCTTGGAATTTTTTTCTGTAAGTCTGATAGTATTTCTAGACAGCCACACTTGTCATAAAGCCCATCTTCAACAGTGCTTGGAAAATAAAACAGCCAGAGTCCTTCAGAAGGGGCAAATAAATTCACTCCCAGGTGATTTCCCTTTACTTACAAGATTATCTTGGCTGTAGTTTACAATTTCTTTGTGATCTGGCCTCTGCCTACTTCATCCTGCTCCATTCCCCCCTAACCTAGACACAGTGACCTTCATTGGGTCCTGCAGACATGTACAGCTTCCTACTTTGGAGCCTTGCACCTGTTATTTTCTCCCCCTGGGATGTTACTCTTCCTGATCTCCACATGGTTGGCTCCTTGTTGTCATTCATTTTAGAAATTTATTATCACAATTTCAAGGTGAACTTCCCTGGAGATCCTACCACTTACCTCATCTACATAAGCYTTCTAGAGTAGAGCTTGGCACACCACTTGGGATATAGTCTGGGCTCAACAAATGTTATTGTATGAACAAAGTAAGCCACAGTCCTATTCATAAGACAACTTGGATTTTCGTTCTCTTCTACCCCAATCACATTACTCATATTTATTATGTAGTCACTTAAACTATTATAGTTATCTGCATATCTTTCTCCCTGCTAAATTTTAAGCTGCTTGTGGTAAGAAGCTATGCCTCCCTTCTCCAATTCCCAGTGCCTTCTTCAACACATTTATAAGGCATCAATAATTCAAGCTAGCAAAGACTTAGTTTCAGGAGTTTAAAGAAAATTTTTACATGGTGTCTTTCCACTCTCCTAAAAGCACTGAAACCAAATAATAACAATTAGGGCTAACAGTCATGGAGTGCTTATTATAATCTCAATATATGCACTCAGTATTTTATAAGTGTTTTAAATATTTTACCTCCTTGGGTCCTCATTATAGCCTTATAAGCTAAGATACTATTCCCATTTTATAATAAGAACCTGAGGCTCAGAGAGATTGCATTACTTCCCCAAGGGTGCACAGCAATGCAGAGGCACAAGTTAAATCTAGACATTGAAACCCTAAAGCCCATGCACTCTATTACTCCAGGATGGCTGGAGAAAATTCAGTGTGTTGCTCATTCTTTCCATTCCCACTCTGCCAAATTGATCTATCTACTACCACGTGGACACTTGCACATGTGATAGCAAGCTGACCTTACTCTGGATGGCTGCTCAAGTACTATACAGTGAAGGGCATTACTGAGAAAGTTCACTGTCCAAAATAACTCTCAACCACCCCACGAGAGTGACTGAAAATCCTGTATCAGGGAACCAATCCTTATGTAAGCAAAATCCCTAGTTAGAGCCTAAATATGATCCAGAAGGTTAACTGCTTACAGCTAGCATGCGTCATAAACATTTTGCAGTGAATTATTCAGATTATCCAGCAGAGTTCTGAGGAATGGAACCCATCCAGTTAAGGTTAGGTTATGGAAAAGAGAAATTTCAAGGAACATCTAAGGGGTATACTCCTTCAAGACCAGATCAAGGTCAGATGGAAGGTACACACGTTCACCTATATGTAGTAAAGGGCAGGAGGGGGTCAGAAGAGTAAGACTAGACTCTTATAACAAAATTGGAGATGCTTAAAAATGTCCACCTTCTGCAAAATGCTGCTTTAGAACCGGTCCCAAATAGCAGCATTAAAGTTATTCACGCATAGCAAAGCAAAACCACAGAGCACAGAGATAGGTGCCTGCACTATTCAGCTAGACAATACTGGTCTTCATCAAATTAGAACCAACAAAGAGCTAGATAAAAGCCAACAAGCCAGTCACTGTCTAAAAAGCAGATGTTCATGCTACACATGGCATTACAGCATCAGGGAGAAGGATTTCTAGGCACTTTTCATAATTGAAAGCACTCTCCCTACACCCCTGTTGGCCCGTTTTAATACCTGTACTCCCCCCTAAAGGGTCCTCAACCCTCACAAAATGGCATTGATGCTGCTTCTACACATGACTGGGTATCTTCAGCCCTGGGCCATTTTAAGCCAGACAACCTCCACTGGCTGAGAGGGTTGATTATGAAATCTCTTCTAGGGTCAAGAGGAAAGGGCTGACAGGCAGGCAGGCAGGGGGGCGGGCAAGGGAGCCTCCTAAAGTGGGAAACACTGAGATAACCTCATTATCTGTTGGCAGGTAGGAAGGGCAAGATCTCTGGACTGGAGATCAGAGGTGTTGGGGGCTCACTAGGGCCAAGGACACTTTGTCTTGTTTCTTCCTGGTCAAGGTAGGACAATCATCTAGGAGAAAATTCCCCAAACTTGAGTCCTTTGACCAGGCATCGCAACTGTACCCCCTGTCTCCATCTTCTACTTCCAATAATTTGGCAAACAATTATCTTGATTAGATATTTGCACTTAAATAAGTTTATTTTAAAAGGAAAACTTTGTACCATCAAGAAAGCACTTCGTTTAATGGAGCAGTTTTCCCTCTTACTAACAAAAACACGTAACTATGTTTATCCACGTGCCACCAAATCATCTCTGCTACCCTCGGCGATGCCAGCTCAAGGAGCAGCTTTGGGAAGCACAAAGCTATCCCTGCGAGGTCCAGGGTTGGAGCCCAAGCCAGTCAGTGTTTCCACGCCTCCTCCCGGCGAGGGGCAAGTCCAGAGGACTCACCCGGAGGCCACCCCTCCCTCCAGGAGTACCACGTTTCCTGTCAAAACAAACCCGAGGAGGAGGGGACGGCGGAGGCAGAGCCGAGTGCCCGGGAAACCCCGGCAACAAACCCCAAACACTCGCCGCGGGCCCCGCCCGGCCGGGGAAGGGGCCTCCGCAGCCCCGGTGGAAAGCCGCCCGCGGAGCAGGCGCTGGCCCCGGCCCGGCGGGCTGTGAGCGGCGCCGAAATGCCCGGACCCCGCCGCCTCCGGGTCCGGCAGCCCGCGGCCACTCGCGTGCGAGTCCCGTTCCCACGCGGGACGGCAGTTCTAGGTCAAACGGGGACAGGGACGGGGTCGGGGTGAGGGGTCAAGCTTGTTGGTTCCTGGGCCCCGCGGTCTCAGGACGGCGTTCCGTGGTGGAGCGGGGAGGCCTGGGCTGCCCTGGGTTGAGCTGTCCCCTCTCGGGCCCTAGCTCATTACCTCACAGACCGAGACCCCTCCCCGGGGAAGGATACGCACTGAGTCCGGCGCAGAGACAGGAGGAAGGCGACCAAGTGACCCCAAACCAGGGGTCTCGGGGAGTCCCCTAACCAAGCGCCGCACTACCTCGGAACTCCTCAACAACTCCAGCCCCTCGGCACCCTCCCCCCGCCCCCACACGCGGTATTTAAAGGGCCCTGAGAGACTCCAGGGAAGAGGCCACCACAAAACCCGCAAGAGGGAGGATGACGGAGCGGCGGAGCCCGGAAAGGCAAGTCATTTCAGGCTCCGAAAGCCGAATTCGCACATAATTAACCAAGACCCAAAGAATATTCCCGAGGTTCGTATGGAAAAGGGTGAAGATAGCTCGGGATGGAGGCCGTTTAGCATGCGAGAAGGATGCTCCCCCGCGCAACGAGTGGTACGGCCCGAACTGAGCGGGGCGGGGAGAGGAGTGTTTACGGAACTGGGGCAGCCTTACGGTGGGAAGGGCCGGGCGTTGGGGGCGGGGCCTAGCGGAGGCGGGGCGCCGGGCGTTGAGGGCGGGGCCTAGAGGGGGCGGGGCCAGGGAAGTGCTCGAGTCCTCTGCCCAAGGCTGGATGCTTCTCAGGCTCAGTGAACCGTGCTGTCAGATCCTTGCCCCTCCTGAAACTTTCAGAACCGTCACACCTCTTACCTAGACCTGGCACACTCAGCTAGGTGCCCATCACCGCACTGTATACACACACAAACACGCACACACAAACACAGAGACCAGCCAACCGAAAACGTCACAAGTGGACTTTCCCAAGCACTTCAGAGACTCACCAAGTCATCCACATTTGTGTCTGCATCTCCATTTAAAAACACGGGTTCAGATTTGCACCTGGACGCTACGATTAGCCCCTGGGAACCACACCTACCCAGGTTCTCGGAAGACTTCGTGTGCGTGCAAAAGATAAAGCTTCATACTTCCTCTAGGGTTCTTTGGCAGCGCCTATCTCTGGGAGAAGTTTCAACTTGGGTTAATGTAAATAACCAGCTATAGGAGAGGTTCTGTGCGGTCAGGCTGCAGTTCATCTCTTGTGAACTCGCTTCAGGGCATACAAGAAACAAATTCCCCCCCACCATACACATGAAAACCTCTATGTCTTCTGCCAGAGGTAAATGACTATTACTTGGGAGGCAGTTTCACGCAGGAATGTTAGTAGATTGTGTATAAACCTAGGTATTTCTGCCTAGTGCTGAAATCATATCTGGATTGTGAAGGCAAATTGGCCAGCACTGTTGTAGAAAGAAAAAGAAAATCAAAAGCAGACTGGCAACATTTTAAAGCAGGATAGAAATCCTGGTTTTCAGTGGTTATGACATGGACTCTTCTTAGGTTCAAAGCCTGCCTCTGATATTTACTACCCATGTGATCTTGATCATTGAGAGTAACAATAACTGTTCCATTGGGTTATCATGAGGGTTATTATGAGGAGGAATTGAGATGAAGTATGTAACATGCGTAGTGGTGTACACAGTAAGCACTCAATCAGTGTTAGTTTTTGAAACTATTTGGCAAACCACTCTGAATAAACTTAGCTGGTAATCTGTAGAGATTTATATGTGTTTTCTTTTGTCACTCCTTCTGAAATATACAACCATCTGATACAGATCAAGAGATTAAAAAGAAAATGTCGTTACCACCCAGGTTCTTCCTACAAACAAACCCTTATTTGTATCATTTGTTGGAATACGCAGATGACAGAAGTCTCCAATTTGAATTATTGCCAAATAACAACCACCACACAACTGCCATCACCACCATAAAAGCTCCACAATAGAAAGATTAGCCAAAAAATATCCCCAGACTGCTGGTAACTCTGTGACAATGACACATTGCAGCATTGCTTCCTTTGTAGCTTTGTAGGAATGTGTAATGTATTATTTTGTGCTGTGACATAACCTGGGACAGGTGGACATGAGTCAAGGTAGTTGTCCAGTCTACCTAGGTGACCATCTGCCTGACCCTAGCTATGACACTTATTTTAAAGCTCAAATATATAACTCTCAAAGCCACAAGGAAGCATTTTTTGTCAAAGCAGATGAGTCACAATTCAGCATGTGTAAGAATCTTAAGTTGGAAGAGATGGTAAAACATCACATACCCGAGTGTGGACACAGAGAGATCCTGGAAACACAGTCTTCTGTCGCTTTAATGTTAAATAACTTGCTATCTTAAAATCCTTTGGTGAATTACCTGACCAACTGCTTTCAGCTGGGCTTGTTTGTAAAAGCACTTTGAAATAATATAGCCCTATAAAATATAAGGCAGTTCTCTTTAAAAATGAGCCTTATATCATCACATCCTTGCTCACAGAACTCAGAGTTGTAAAATAATATCCTCCCTGCTCAGGTAATGTTCCTGATCTTCTGGGGGGAAAATATTCTGAAAAGTTGGCCTCTTTATTAAGCAAAATAATTAGTATTTTATTTGAAGAAGACATATTATTGCACCTAATTTTCATAACTTACCTTTTTGAATTATTTAGAAAACTCATGGTAATACAGTTGGTTTTCCCCCTATAAATTCCACAAGAGATCAAATTTGGTCTAAGAGCAAAAGACTAAGGGCAGATTAATATTTTTTTGCTTGATAAAGACATATGAATAATCATTTTCTTTTTACTATCTGAAGTCTGAGTTTTAAATTACAAGGAATTCTTTAACAAATCAGAAAATGCAAAAATGTATATTGTCATATGAATTTGCAACTTCTCAAACATTTGGCTTTTCTGATGGAGTTGCATCATGTGCAGATTTAATATCATGCATACAAACTCAGTTACACATACTCAATTAGCATGGGGACTGGGAAGCACAAGATTTAAACATTTAAAGATTTAATGATCTTACCTACTGTTTCCTCCTATGGAGATCCTGAGGCCTCTCATTGTGTTCCCAGGCTATTACTTGGGGCTGGCTTCTTGGTCTGTAACCTGTGCATTTGTCCAAGACCTTACTCTTGAAAGAACACTGTGCTTCGTTTCATGCTCCACTACTGTTATTTTAAATTCTTAATCCTTTTTAAACAAGGGGTCCCTGCATTCTCATTTTGCCTTGGACCCCTACAAATGATGTAACTAACTGGTCCTAACCTCACCATACAGAATATGAACCCAGTGTTTTTAAAGTCACTTTGTCCCACCAAGCTGCCCCCAAATGTAAGTCTACTATTTCATCTAGTATTCAGTTGGAGAAACATATCTGTGTCGATGCTGAAGGAAAACAAACAAACAAAAACAGGTTGTATGGCCCATTTAAGCAGTTTTAAAGAGTAGTTTTGACTGTACATGATTTTGACTTTATGTTCTCCCCTTATAGCCTAACAGCTCACATAAGATGTGACTCCACTGTAAAAACGAAAGATTAAATGGAATCTCATCTCTTTCTACTCAGTCATCTTAAGGTGCTAGGAAAGGGTTAAAAAAATCACTAAGGGGAAGAGAGATGCAATTGAAAGCAGAAAGAAGAAAAAGAATGCAGCTTATACACATATCATATAGGTCACTGAATGTTTGAAGATCAGCTGCATACCTTCTGCTCAAATTTGCTGTGAAAGAAAAACTGCTCTAAAAAAAAATAAGAGGCTATTAAAAATAAATAACCACATCTTCTTGGCAAATCCCATTGTTCTCTTTCTTTTGGTCTTGAAGATAAGGCAGATTTAAGTCATTGGTCAGTTTGTCTATTACTTGACATTTGATCAATTTCCCAGAGCACCACAACCAGTTTTTCTCATGATTCCACTGAACTGAATTAGTATAAGATTGGAAGTTTACTTCTCATTCCAGTTGCTTGTACCCTCAACATTTAGACACTGCCCAGACCCTGACCCTGTCAGATACGAAAAAGACAAGTGCCTTCCCCAACCCTCCAGGCTCCTTCCACTTACCTGGCCACCACTGTTCTCCTCTGGAAAGTAAAAACAAGAATGACAACCAGCAGCAAGGACAGCTCAGGAGGAAGCCAGGTAGGAAGTGGGAGGAGCCCAGAGCACTTAAGAGGGAGGTCAGAGAGGTCATGGTGAGGGCTCCTTCCCTGACCAGGACAAATCCCTCTCCTGAGTCCACCTCTTGGCCAGCAGGTAAACTTTTTCTAAGCAATGTCTGTGGGTGACCGTTTTAGGCTCTCACTTTTAAAATCAAGTGGAATGCCCAATGGAATGGAAAACAGCTTCTAAGATAAGATGCAAAACGCAGAAGATATAAAGGCAAGATTAGTAAATGTGACTCTTCAGATACAGAATGCAACATAAAAACATGAATTACAGAACAATGATTACAGGGTAAGGCCATGTATGCTGGAAAGAGCCCACAGTAGAGACAGCATGCCTGCATCCCATATGAAATGTGTAAAAAGGGACAAAAGACCCTCCAAACTGATTAGGAGGCAAGTTGGAAAATGTTCCCAATTCATTCTCTATACCTTCAAATAGTACTCATTCATAGTAGCGTAATTTCACACGGCCATACCATGATGCCACTCTTATCATTGTGTGTTCTCCTAAGTATACCTCGGTGGAGATAAGCTATCAACACTTCACGATATTTTCCTATTTCCTTTGTATGCATACTTAAGACAGTCATGATAACCAATGGAGCTTTTCACATAAAGTATATAAAGGAATCTGTTTGAAAAAGTTCCCTCTCTATGGTATGTCAAATTTATTTATGCCAGTTGGGGGAATATTGATTCTTAATTTTTAGGTTATTCTCTTTAAGCCCTATTCCTAGATAGCCAAAGTACACGGACTTTACTTTCTTTTCAAACATGTTTATGTCCCAACCTCTAACCTCCAAGGCCTTCCTTTCTTTCATGACTAGATAAGCATCCTTTCCCAAAGTGGTATGGAACTTGGATCATTATATTACTTTTTTTTTTTTTTTTTTTGCACTGGAGATTAAACCCAGAGTGCTTAACCACTGAGCAACATCTCCAGTCCTTTTAAAAAGTATTTTGTTTAGGGCTGGCTGGGGTTGTGGCCCAGTGGTAGAGCACTCCTCTAGCACGTGTGAGACCCTGGGTTCGATCCTCAGCACCACCTAAAAATAAATAAGTAAAACAAAGATATTGTGCCCAACTACAGCTAAAAAATACATATTTTAAAAACATATTTTGTTTGGAC